AGGACTGGCCCCGCCTTGGAACAGGTTTGGGCTCTTGGTTTGCCCAGCGAGACAGGCCCTGAGCTCCCTGCAGGCTGCTGTGTGATTCCCAAGTGGATCTGGGGGCAGGTGGCTGTGGTGGCCGGCACGCAGAGCCCTCACACCCCGGCGGGCACCGCGAGATGCTCACGTGTATGAAGCATCTCCTCAGGCTCACGCTTTGCCGTGGAAAAGGAAATAAAAAGAATCTCGCCCCCCCCTCCCCTCCATCTGCCTTCAGTGTCTCCTTTCTAATAACTTGGCATATTCACTTAATACAGCCCGGCTCCTTCCAAGTCGTTAGCGGCGGCAGGAGACACAGCCGGAACGCTGACCTGGTTTGCTTGCCAAGACAGAGCAAAGAGAAACCTTCACATAATCATTTCCAAACATTAAAATGGCTCCATTGTCATTATAGCTGAGAGATTGAATTCGCCTCATCAAAGCGGCGTATGACAGGTGACTCAATAGGCTGGTGCCAAGCGCGGAGGCAGGAGATTAGCAGGGCACTGATATCATTATTTCCGCCTATCACAGATTCGGCAGGGAGGCAATTGTAATTTCTGGGCTTATTAGTCTGCATTCGCAGGAAAAAACCTGGTGATAAACCTCAGTGTGACAGCCAGGCATTTGTGCAGCAAGTGCTGTCACAGTGACACTTGGAAAATGCCAATGTGGATACGTTCTCCTAATCCCCCCTAATGGAGGTTAAAGCCTGGCACAAAGGCACTCTTATCACTGATCGGGACACTAATAACATTTGCATTTTTAAGTTAAATATAGTAAGTAAAGAGTAAGTCTCCTCCTCGCGGCTCCGGCAATTAACTGGGCCTTGGAAGGATAAAAGCGAAGCGGAGGTTCCAGCCCCGCGCTCTCCGCTCTCCTCCACGGCGGAGGGAGAGGGCCCTCGCTGGGTCAGCATTCCCAGAGCAGCACCTGCACTCCCACCTCAGCTCCCCACGCTTGGGACTGGGTGGAGAAGCTGGGATGGGACCTGGTAGAGGGGGGGACCAGCCGGCTCGTGGGGGCTGAACAGAGGTGCTCACCCGGGACTGCGCTTCCCACCGAGGAGGGGAGATTGTTCTGGGCCTGTCACACACTTTTACAAGTGGTTTTGCTTCAGAAGAACAAAACTTTGGGGTTTTTTTCCACCCCACAGTGCAAGCTGGGCTTGGGGTTTGTGTGATAATTCCCCCCGGACATGAGCCCAACACGGACACACACATGCACACTCTCCACAGGAATTTCTTAAGCAAAAAAATAATTACAGGTGGTAAACTGTTACTTTTCCACATTTAAATAAGAGACCAATTAAGAAGACTATGTAATTCAATTCTAGAGTGAGTGCCACTGAATTCAATTTGTTTCAGGTCAATGAATATAATGTGAAGTTATTAACAAAAAGGTCAGGGACTGCATATAAAATATACACACATGACACAGGCAGAGTAATTAGTACACATTTCACATGTTCTGCTGCTCAGACATATGGTGTAGAAAATCTGAGCAGGATTAGATGGTAATAAATGTTCCCCTCTCCCTCCCTCCCACTCCCTATTTAACTGGGGTTTAGAGCTATTCCCCCGGTGTTCCCGGGATCCGTGGAGGTTGAGGACCCACAGCTCACACAGCAGTGCCAGGCTGGGACCCTCAGCCAGGGCAAAGCATCCAGGGGAGCTGGGAGGGCGGTGTGGGACTGAGGTGGAGCTGGCAGGGTCACTCGGGGCTGGACCTGAGGGGCAGCACGTGCTGGGGCAGGGACAGTGCTCAGGGGCCTCGTGCCCCACACGCCACTCACCCTCTGACAGAGTTACCCCCTTCGTGGCATCTCACTCGTGCACCCTCACCAAGAATTGGTGTGTTTTCCCACGCCAATCTGCTGCAAGTGCACACTTGATGTGAAGTTATCACATTAATAATAACAAAACATTCAAACCGCTATAGAGATGCTGTGGTTAAGTGGGGGTTGAATTTGAAAAAAAATCCACAACACATGAATAAAAATAACCAGAGGACGACAAAGCCCTAAATGCCTTTGTCACCCTAAGCCTGAGTGTGGCACACCTGGATCCTCTGGCAGGTAAAGGTGCACTGTCATAGGGGAGGAAAGTGAGGACTTGGGAAAAACTCCCTGGAAGTTACAGGAAGGAATCCCAAGATACACGAATGCTGCTCAGCTTCTGTATCATATAAGGGCTTGAAAAAAAAGGCAAAAGCACAGAAAACACCGGGAAAATCCTGCTCTGTGGCAGCCCTGGCCCTGTCTCTGCAGCAAGGGAGGAACCAGCCCCACCTACGTGCCAGTAAAGAGCCAGAATCTCTGATTCTTGTGAAAAAAGCCTCCTGCCCCCCACCTGCAGCACCTCCTCTGAGTTCCTGCTCTGGAGGGAAAGGCACAGCTCCCGGGGGTAACAGCATCCCTCGGGAAAGCCGCTGCACGGCGGGACCCTGCGGGATGGGGAGGTGCTCCCGGAGCCGGTGGCTCTTCACCGCCTTTTCCGCGTCGAGGGACCACACACACGTCCCTACAAAAGCCCTTCCCGGAGCCTGCTGAGCTGCAGCTCCGTGTGTACACACTGACAACAAACCCCGGCCCCGGGGGCCTCCCGGCCCCACGCACGGCCCTCCCCCGGCAGCCGGAGCAGCTCCCGATCCAGCAGCAGCTCCCGGGTCACTCCAGGACCCGTCACATCGCGCGTGTGACACAACCCATGGGCCCCCCATGCCCCCACTGCACGGATTCCTCCAGCTAAGCCAACATTCACCCTGCAAATATCTGTGTTTCTACTCACAGAGACTTAAGTTCCTATTTTTTCCACTGGCTGCTAGGAGATTAATCCATGCCTAGTTCCAGTGTCAGCTTTGGGGAGCAGGACATATTTGGGAGTATGGGAACCTCTTTACATTTGAATTGCTCCAATCTTTCTGGAATTAGCAGTGAGGGAAACCTCAGAAAGGGCAGGTTAAGTGACACCTGGCAGCTTCCCCAGCCCTTGCTGCGGGGAGCTCAATCTGATTTATGGGGGGCTCCGGTGTCCAGTCAAACCTGCTCGGGATCTTTACTGGGAAAAGATCTCCCTGCCAAGGAGCCAGATGTGTTTCTGTGCTCCAGCGTTTTCCTTGGCATCTTCTGTTCAGAATGATAAATGCAACAATCCATTTCCCAAGTTATCCTTTATCTCCAGTGTGGTCTGATGTGTTAAAATAATTAAGCTGTGTGCACATATTGACTAATAATTGCTATTTATTACTGAACTTGTGAGCATAATCCTCAACTGGAGATATTTGTTTTGCCCATTTTTCCTGTTTTGGTTTTGTATAACTGACTGCAGAAAGCAACAGGAGAAGCAAGAAGTGGAGAGCTTCAGGAATGGCTGGGAAGCACGCTTCCACACGGAACAGCCCCAGCTCCATACAGGCTTAGTGTTTCTCTGTAAAGAGGGAACTGTAAAGTGAGATTGACTCATACAGGTTCAGGGGTGAATTAAATCCAAGATGAGTGTGTTAATTAACATTGCTGTGGCTAGGTATTCCAGGCAGGATCCTACCTCCAGAGCATTCAGCAGAATTCCTCGGAGACCCAAGTAAGTGCTCACGAGGAATTCTGTCCTTAACAAAACAAGGGAAGGTGCTCCATGAGTTCTGGACTGGCTGCAGTTCACTTGGCCTGTCCCACACACCAACCCTCTCTGCAACAGCCCCTGGCTTTTCCCATCAGCATCCCCCCGGGATGTGGGGCTGCACAGCAATCCCAGGCACAGCAGCCTCCTGGTTTAGTCCGGGACTCTCCCCCTGTGCCAGACTCCAGGAATGGCTCAATATCCCCGGCACTGTCAGGACAGGGCAGGGGTTTAATCAGTGCTACCAAAACCAATTGGTTTCTCCCCACTTCCCAAAATTCAACACATTGATCTGTAATGAGAGAAGGGAAAAGAGGAAGGGCAGCTCGGCAGGTTACTGAACACATTAGGTGGAGAGGCAAAAAAAAAAGTAAACAAACAAATCTGTTTTCTTTTTAATTAAGAAGTGATTCCCCCCCAAGTTGCCCTTTGCTGTCCCGGATTCCCTGTTTTTTAAAATCACTGGAGCAATTTACTTTCCATTTTACTGTTGGGCTCGTGCATTGGAACAGAAGAAATGAAAAGCAGGGAAATACCTACGTGAAGCCTTTGTTTTCATTATTTGTCCCCTTTTCCTCCGAGTTTTCTGTTTCTTTTTCCCAGCAAACCACCACCAGCTTTCCCCCCAACCCACGGCACGACTCCCCAGACCTCCCCGTGACCATCCCGGAGCGACGCTGCCGCCCCTCTCCTCCCCCTCGCTGCCTGGGGCTGGACTTTTTCCTCAACGCCACCGGGATTTACTCGGCGCTTCCACAAACTGCCCTTGACCCCCCCCCCCCCACCCCCCTCCCCGGGCCGGGGTGGGGCAGGACCAGACCCCCCCCCCCCGGGCCCCCGGGGGGCCCCCCCCGGGCCCCCCGGGCAGCGCGGGGCACCCGGGGGGGGCCGGGGGGGGAAGCCGGGGGGGAAGGGGGGGGGGGGGGGGAGCATCCCGCTCCCCGCCCCGCGGGGTCGGTGCCCCCCAGCTCGGCAGGCTCTCAGCGCTCCCGCTCCCGGCATTTTCATTAACTGAAGATTGCGGGTGGGTCAGCAGATCTATACACTTTTGTGTTCCTCGGCTCGCTTTATTTATTTCTTTCTTTTGCAGGATGCTGAATAACTAACCTTTCCTTCAATAGGCAGATTTAAAAAAAAAAATAGGATCCATCACACAGCGGCAGGATAGCCTTGCTCTGTTTTGACCTTTCTGAAATTAATTTCCCAATCTTAGCTTTCAAAATCAGAGATTGAAAAGACCTATTAGATCAGCCAATCCATCTTATCACTAGTACAGCAGCAAGCAGAGACCCCAGCCAAGTGCTCCTCTACACAGGGAAAATATTCTGGAATAAGACGGGGCATGAATTTAAAGTGAAATACCTGTTCCGGAATATTCTGCACATGGACACGCGCTCTGGAAGAGCTGCAGCTGATCCTGAGTTTGCTCAGTTGACACCTGGAGCCACTCGCTGTAACAGAGGGGAGAAAAAAAATCCCATTTTAGGAAAAGAGTACCTCTCCTGGGGTAGCTCCAGGGAATAATGCCCCCTGATGCTTTTTCCCCATGCAGGCTGTTGCTCAGGGAAGCACAGGGAAGCACGAGGACAGGTGCTCACACACCTGCCCAGGGAGAGCTGCTCCCAGGCTCTGCAGGGAAATCCATCCCTGACCTGCAGAACCAAGGACTGCCTGGCAGGATGAGGGTCAGAAGGACGGGATTCTGGTGTGCAGCTCCTCGAGGAGCCTGGGATGTTAAAACATACCTCTCCCAAGCTGCAGAGGAGCACCTTTGCCAGGGGCACAGCTCTGCTCAGCGGCTCTGTGCTTTTCCAGACAGCAAAGCACTTGGCACCCGGGGGCAAAACCCCAAAGCTGATGGGTCTGCACCACACGAGCCCGAGGGCAGGGCCAGGCCCAGCTGCCCTGGCCAGCACTGCCAGCCCATGGTGGCAGTCCCCAGGGAGGCCCCTCAGGGCACAGGGTGCTGCTGGTGCCCTCTGTCTCTCTCCTCCTATTCCCCTTGGAATTCCTGGGGCTCTGGGCACGGGACAGGTCACCCTCTGCAAATCTTGGTCTCCACCTCCATCCTGCCCTCCAGCAGCACCACACGGAGCCCAGGTCGGGCCTGTCCTCACCCAGGGGATGCCACAGTCACACAGGCAGGGAGGGGGAGCTCAGTGATGCTGTGGCAGTCACAGATATCGGTGCCATGCTGGGCTCTGGGCTGGGAGACCGGAGAATGCATCCCAAGTGCATGAAAACTTGGAGTTTCTTCCTATGAAATGTGGTGGGAAGGAGGCTCTGCCGACACCTGCAGCGAGCGCGTTCACCAAGGAACTGGGAATGACATAAATGTGCCTGTCAGGTTGAAGCCCTGTTACATTTGCTATCAGAGCTGCCGTTTGGGCAGCAACTGCGAGTCTTTTCCCAGTGAAACCCCCCTGCTCTGCCTCAGCAGCCCCTGCCTTCCACACCCACCATCCCGACGGGAAGAGCTGCCACCACCCCCTACGACTGGGAGCTCCAAGAGCAGGCAGGGACGGGAGCTGCAAACTTTGGGCACTCAACAAGTCCTCTCCACACAGAGTCGGGGCCAAAGGATCAATATTGACACTTAAGACTATTTTCCTCGATTTGTTTTTTTGTTGATTGTCGGGGCAAAATTCCACTTTTCCGATATCTCGGATTCTTGGCTAATAGAAACAAATAAAGCCAAAGCTTCTGTCCACAATGGGCGAGGAGCATCCATTGTCGGCAGGCGCTAATCGGATTAAATTGGCTCCTGGCTCTATTGCTCGGGGATAACTCACTCCTAAATTTTTCCCATCTCGAGGGGATGGGTCATTGTTGCTTCTTTTTTTTTTTTTTTTTTTCCCTATTTAAATTTAACAGCTAGAAAGAAAGCAGGAATGGCTGGAGCTGACGGCGGCGAACAAAGAGTGGAGCCCAGCCGCGGGGCCGTGGTCCTCGCCGGCCCCCGCCAGCCCCTTCTCCCGGCTGGAGCTGCTCCGGCATGGCCGCCGCTCCCGGCTGGAAGCGGGCAGGGAAGAAGCTCCGGCTGTCCCCGGCGGGCGCGCTCAGGTCGCTCCCCATTAGCATTTTAATCCGTGCCCCTGGCACCGGCCCCCTCGGAAGCAGCAGCCGCGTTCCTGCGAGCACCCGAAGAGACAGCCTTAAATAATGCCGCCTTCCGAGGGAGGCCCCGCGCGCCGCCAGCTACATTTTGCCCAGAGTCTGATAATTTTCAAAGCTATTGGCAACCTGGGAATTTTCCTGCCTTATCACCGGGGCTCAGCTAACTTCACTAACACTAATCAGAGCTGGAATCATTCATTCAAGGATTGCATGATCATGTTTTTCTTTAGCAGTGACAGCTGCCTGAGCCGCATTAGCAATGCAGATGAGTCAGCCTAATAGGTTAATGCAGAACACGCGAAAATTAGGTTTAATCCCCAGTGAAATAATCTAACATTTTCACATTTCTTGATGTTGGGATAGAGACATTGGTGGTGACTCAATTAGGTGTAATGTAGATCAAAGCAAATTTACCTTCTGGCTGAACCTTCCCTATAGTTTAGATAGAAAGAATATAAGGGTTCTTTACTAATTGGCCAGTGGCTGTGGGGGAAAATTATATGGAAAGCGTGCGTAGCGCAGGAATTGCGTTTCGGATTTGGACCTGGGCATGGCTGGGCTCTGCAAACAGCCCCTGCCAGCCCACAGCTCCTTGCCATGCACAGCTCACCCACCAACATGTTTGGGTTTTTTTCAGTTTTATTCCCCCCCTCCCCGTTCCTTTTTTAATGTCCCGTACTGCAATATCCCCACGGAGGTTTGAAAGACCTTGTATGATAAAAGGAGCATAAAGGAGAGGGAAAAAACCCCACCCACCAGCGCGCGCCCGTCTAATGTTTTCATTCCCGGGGAATAACATATCAAACAGCCATCGCTTTCAGTCATAAAGGGAGGGGAACAAAAAATTACATGCCCTCAGTTGCCAAATTATTTTTTGCCTTGACATCTTAATTCTTAATCCTTGTGTGTGGTCAAATCAGCCTACTATAGACAACCAATCAAGCAATTATTCCTAAATTATATTTGCCCAGCTCACATTGATTGGTTATTCTTTTCTTATTGGGTAAGCTCATTAATTCCGAGCAGCTTGCTTATTATGCTTTCCACATCATTTTCCTTCGCAGCCTATCTACTCACACCAGCCTGCTGATGTTTCAAGATGCCACGCAGAAAAAAAAAGGCCGAGTGATCTATTGCATTGTCTCTTCCAGCAATTACAATTCACATTGCTGATTAACTTTGATGTGAAAACTAATGAGATAAGGCAAGTTATCAAGGCGGACCTGATCGTCATCTCATTTATAGAGCATTTGCCATCAGTGAATGACAAAAACTAATGAAGATGTATCTGACAGCAGGCTGAGCCGCGGCCGAATTTCGTTTCTCATCAGCAAGTGCTCTGCTTCCAACTCATCAGTCTATCTGAAACATGTGGAAATTAGCTTAATAATGAAAACACTTCATCCAAATAGACAAATGTTTACATTAAAATAGCTACATGATAAATAGATGTTAAAGATTTTATGCCTTCTTGAGTCTAAACAATGGAGCACAAAATATGTTCTCATATTCACTAAATCATGCCCATAAAGCTCCCCACGTGCTGCTGTACCTGCGGGTTCCCCTCTTTACGGCTCACGAGGATTCCTGGGCTGCGGCTCGGCCGTTTGGAGCCGTCTGGTTTGGGCTGTAAGTCAGGGACGCCTGTGCCGTGGCGGCTGCCAGGGAGAGGGGGGCTGTCCCTGCCCAGGTCTGGGGCACAGAGCTCCCAAAAGCAGGTTTTTCAGCAGCGCCGTAAGAGGAGCAGAAGTTGCTGCCGGACATTGACATTTACCCAGCGCAGAAAAGAGATCCATTTACCCCCAGACAAAGTACAATGTGCAGACATAATTCATGTAAATACAGCAACATTTCTTGCCTGAGCCACCGCCGAAAGGCCTCCTGTAATATCAGTCGAGTTTGGAAATGTTTTGTGATAAAAGGGAGGCAGGCAGAGCTGCTCCCATTTTTAATATTGTGGCTTTGGTACCTTTATTTATGAGAGACTATTTCATATTTGTCGGGCACTATTTCACATGCTTCTACTACGTCCAAACATATCCCCAAGACGGTTTTGTATCTGGAATAAAATATTCATTCATCACCTGGGATCAAAAAATACTGGTTTTAATATAAAAGACATGCATCTGCAAGGCAAAAACTCTCACTCTGAAAATTATTCTAAAAACTGTGTACATTTCAATTAAAATGAAGACTTGTACAAGGTTCTTTTTCCTCTCTCTAAAAACTGGCAGAATATACGTGGACAGCCTATAGCACTGTGTCCTCCAGGAAAAAAACCAAACCAAACACACTATTCCCAGCGTAAGAGGAACTTTAAAACTGATTTTAAAAACACCATTATGCAAGTGGACTAAAAAAAAAAAAATCAGAGGCTTTGCAGAAAAGCCAGGGGAGCTCCCATGAATTCCGTGCACCGACAGCTCCGTGCACACACGTGGAGAAAGCTCGGCTCCCAAGGAGCCGGGACCGGACCGTCCGTGCGACGGGATCGCGCCGTGGGTGCAGCCCCCCGGCCCCCCAACCAGCTCCCACCCTCAGGCACTCACCACGTCCCCTTCCTCGGCCGGGGAGGACAGCGGAGGTGCAGCCCGAGGTGCATTGTGAGGCACAGATTAGCTGCCGGCACAAAGGGCCCGGTCCCGGGAAAGTTAAAAGAAAAGCCTGGTAGGAAGCGCCGGCGACAAATTACTACTTCAGCGCTGGATTAAATGTCAAAGCCCTTCACAGAGCTGCAGATAAATCCTGCATGTTAGAAGGAACCTTAAAAGTACTTGTTCAAGAGCCGCTACAGGCCCAAGTGGAAAATTGACCCCAAAGATTTTTTTTTTTTTTTAAATAGCCGAAGTTTATAAAATTTCTCCCGGCGCAGGGAAGGGTTCGGGTGCCGCTGCCGCGCTCGGCAGAGCGACGCTCCCGGGCTGCTGTGGCTGCTTGCCGGAGTTGGACTGTGTGAGTGAGCATTCCATGAAATCCCGGCAAGGTTTGCTTGGTGGTTTGGGGAGTTTCTGCTTTGCCTGTTTTTTGTTTGGTTGTTTGGTTTGGGGTTTGTTTGTTTTTCCGTTTGTTGGGGTTTGTTTGTGTTTTTTTTTTTTGTTTCCCTTTTTCCCCTCTTTCTTTTACCCAGCTATTGCAGCAGGATGGTTTGTTTCTCTTTCACCACTCACAGTGGGAAAACATTGCTCCCATTCTTATTTTCCTTCTCCCCCGGAGCCGTAAGCACAGGTCCATCCCCACATTCCTCCCAAGCCTGCTCAGCACTGCCAGGAGACCCCCAGCAGCCGCAGGATGCTCCGAGTGGGCAGGACACTGCCTTGTCCCTTCGGTTCATAAA